TTATCTGTGACACAAATAGGCACACCACTGGACCGCTTCTCATCCTCATGCACAGCTTTCCCTGTCTGTGCCTCACAGAATTACGAGGTCATAGGAACTTGGAGTAGGTCTTGGACTAGCAGGTGATGGGGTTATAATGTAAATCAGGGTCCTGTGTCATAAGACCCCCAGTATCACCCACTTCCACTGTGCACCTGTGCCACATCTGTTATACCCAGTTAGATATACCTTGTCACAGAGCTGGACCGGCTATGCAGTCCTATGGATGTTATTCTCTAAATCTCCAACTTAACATGTCCAAAGCAAAGCTCGTCACCTTCCCTAACCTGCTTCACCTATAGTCTTTCCCTCTCTCAGCTCTGAGCCTGAAAACCTTTGGATTCATCGTCAACTCTCCTTTTACATCCACTTCCTACACTCAAGTCTGTCTGCAAATCGCGTGGCTGTACACTAAACATGCGTCCTGAATCTGATCGCTTCTCACTACTCCAGTGACATCACTCTAGTCAACACCACCAAGATCCCTGCCTGGCTTATGGCAATGGCATCCAGACAGGTTTCCCTGCTTCTGTCCTTTCCCTCTCCATGGCAGCCAGGGGAAGCTCAAAGTTCAAAGATAGATCGTGTCCTTTGCTCCCTGCAGACAAAATGTTGAGGACCTCGCGGTGGCCTGCAAGTTCTTACGTGCTTTGTTCCCCTTTACCTCACCTCAATCCTGACTTCTTTTTAATTCCACTCTACCCTCTTTGTCTTCCTTTTGCTTAAAATGCATTTCTAGTTGTCACTTGGATACCTCCCTCACCTCCCCCTTCTAGTCTTTGCTGAAATATGATTTCTTAATGAGAACACGTTAAATATCCTATTTGACTTTACAGCCCGCTCCTCTTTAGACCCTCCCTTCCCAATCCAACACTCTTACACTGCTGATCTCTTTTGCTTTTTTTCCCCACAGAAAATGTACACTTTCTGTCACAGGTTGGGTGCATTGGGAAACAGATTCTGACACAGACTTTTTCTGGCAGAAAGGTCATCGGGGAAGGTTCTCTCAGATCAGGACCTATGGGGAATGGAGCAAGCAGTCAGTACTGGGCAGAGGGAAGCGTTGAAATGTGATGTAGTTGTAATATACACCTCGGCTGGCCCCAGGGCAACCAGGAGCTAGACTGACTTTCAGAGTTGCTGTGCATTATGGTAAGTGGACTGAGGTGTTAGGAACTCTCTCTATGGGCTAGACACCGAATATGGGGTGCTCCTAGGGGAGGGGAATGACTTCCGGTGGAGTAGCTGCCCTCCCTGAGCAACTTTGGAGAGGGGTGAGCTGAATGCCACGGGCCATCAGTACTTCCAGCAGTCAGGGGAAGGTTTGGAAGTGAGAACTGAGTGCCATTCTACAGCCTTCACTGTGCCTTTTACCAGGCAGAAATGAGCAAATGTCAATATGTTGCATCTCTTCTGCTAGGCAGAGAGACTCATGATGGGAGTCTCTGTGGATAAACCTCCCTGATGTTTCTCTAGTGTTTGGACCTGTTGAGTGAATGAGTAAACTTGCCCGTTTCTTTATGTCTTGCTTGTGTCTGTCATCAGCCTTAATGGGACTCTCAATCTCGGTTTTGCTCCTGATCAGATGTACAAGCATGAGAAAGTTGTTTAATTCTGAACTTCTGCTTCTTTAACTGTGAAATGGGGTAGCAGAGATATCCACCTTACAAGGCTTGAGGAGGATTAACTGAGCTAACTTCGTGAAGTATTTTGCAGGTGCCTGAAAAAAAAGCTGATCCTTAATAAATACTGTTGGTGTTGCTGTCGGATTCTCCTTGCTATGGGCTGCTTCTAGGATTCTGATCAGAACTGAAGACAAACTAACATTCTAGCTAGGGTACTTTGGCTTTCCAGATGTACAGGGAGAGATGGCATACAGAAGTCTGACCTGCAGGGGTCAGTTTTTGACTAATGAGACTACAGATCTGCTCACAAGCCTGTTGCTATACTTCTCTCCTGGGGAAATCTCAGTGTGTTCCTGTGTATGTATGTGTGTCTATGTACATGTTTGTATGGAGGAAATGGAAACTATACTCTGTATGTTCCTAAAGAATAACTTGCCCCATACACTAGGTCTATATAAGAAGTCAACCATTGTGGGACCTAGAGAGGTCAAGAAAGTCACCTTCCCTTCTGTTTATTCTTTCCCTCTTTTTCCTTTTGATGAACTTTTCCCCCAGTCTCCAGCAACTTCTTTGTGGTCAAATCCAGTGGATGGATGCATACCTGAGTTTGGCAAAAATACTGGCCATCACTCTCTTATCTTGAGTTTCCTAATATTGGTTGTAGTAGATGCTGTGGTTTTTGTCTCCTGGTTTCCCCTCAGAGGGACTCATTGGAATATTCAATTCTCATAGCCAGGGAAAGCATTGGGGGCTCACGTTATCCAGCAGTGTCTCCCCATGAATTGCCTTTGGCCCAGTGGATCTTCCTCGCTCAAGGTTTCACTTCCTGAAAGTGACTATGATCGATTACTCTTGCCTTATTTTGGGACACCTCTAAAGGGGCCAAACCTGCTTTAGAACCTTTCACAGAATTAAGATCTCTGTTGCAAATGCATCAGGGTTCAACTTCTCCTATGCAGTCCAGTTTCCTTTTCTTTTTTCCGAATGTTCTGGAGATCACTCTTCAGTAAGTCCTCTGCATGCAAATCTCCATCTTTGATCTATTTCTAGGGAACCTGACCCACTACTACAGTTGGTGCTAGGAGTGGTTCCTAGGAAACAGACTCTAAAATGGGATTTCGGAGCTGGATCATCCACAGGCCTCTTGGTAATGAGAGCTGTCACCGGGGGTGTGGGTGGAGGTACTAATGGCCCCTGACTTGCTCTAGCAGTGCAACTGTTAAAACTTTTACCGGTGGTGAAGTAGAATAGGATACCAGTGAAAAGGAACATATCGGTGAGAGTTAGCTCTCAAACGTTTAGAGACTTAGAGGAAGTAGTAATTATAAAGACAATAGAATTAAATGATTATTGCGGGGAGGGGGCATCAGTAAGAAAGAAGCAATCAAAGGCCAGAGGTTATTAATCACCAATTTAAGGTGAATCCTGAAAGCCAGAGGGCTTCCTCGTCATTAGTAAAGGGACCTTTTTCCTATAGCTGGAGGGCAGGAAAAAAATCCTGAGATTTGGCCGAGTAATGAATATAAGAATAGCAGATTTTTCAAAGAAAATTAAATTCTCAGTGTTGCAAGCCAGCTATGCTTTGATTGGTCAGGGCGTGACTGGGGCCCTTGACACTTGGGACAGGGTCATTTAGATCAATTACTTTGAATACCTTGAAACCCTAGGCCACCCTGACCCTCAGAGACAGCAGAGTGTCTTTTGCCCTCCTGCCAAAGGCTAGAACTTCCCTGAACATAGAGATGCTGCAAAGACTTCTGCGTCAAAATATGCCGGGCAGTGTGTGCCCACCCACCTGCAGCACACCGTTTCCCCCCCACTCTGCTCCCAACCGTGAGGTCAGTAACTTGGGTAAACTGCAGCATAATCTGGCTGCCAAGGGAAGAAGTCACTGTGGGACTCAGCCGGGAGTGAACTTTATTTCTTGCAGCATTGACAGGCTCTCTGCCTCTAGCCTTACCTTGCAGGTCCATCTCGCACATTGCTGTCAGAGGAATCTTTTAAAACAGATATCTTACCAGTCTCTGCCTTGCTTAGAACACTTCAGCATCTCACTGTTGCCTCAGGATAAAATCCACATTTCTGTGCTGGGTGTTGCTTCATCTCTTGCCTGCTTTTCTGTGTGTTCTTTTCCTGTTTGCCTTTGCTTTTGCTTTCCTGTTTCCTTTGCCTGGAAACTCTCTTTTCTTCGCTTTGCCAGAGTCTTCTCTGTCTCAGTTGAGGTGTCATGGGCTCACCTCCTGTGAGGACACTGTGTTCTCTTGCCTGGTCCCCTCCTCAAGGCACTTCTATCCCTGGTTACTGAGCATGGCTGCTGCTGGGGGCTCACAGCTGCATCTTCCATGGGGACTGTCTGCATCTGCTGGCACTGCCTTCCCTGAAGTGGTGCCCCATCTTGGGACCTGTCCCCAGCCAATAATGGCCACGGAGAAGGTTTCAGGGCTGGCCTCCTTGTTTCAGTGTGGCACAACCCCAGGCTTCCTTCTCAGCTTCAGAGCCTCTCACAGGACTGTCCTAGGCCACAGTTGCAAGCACACTGCTGGTCTCATCTTCGCTTTCTCACTTCTTCTTTAAAATTGTTTTTGATTAACTTGTAATAATTGTACATGTTTATGGGGTATTGTGTAATATTTCAACACGAGTATATAATGTGTACCAATTCAACCAGGGTAATTAGCATTTCCATCACCTTTGCATTTCTTTATGCTTGAGCTTCTCTCTTCTGGTTCTTTGTAAAATATATGTTATCATGAACTATAGTCCTCTTACTGTGCGATAGAACACTAGAACTTGTTCCTTCTGTCTAACTGTGTTTTATTACTGGTGTCTGGTAACAAATCATGATCTTACAACTAGCTTAATTTTGTTTTTAGCTTCCTCTCGTATTTATATAACTCTCTCCATAACACCTCTACTGTCCCAATATAAGTTCATGCAACTCTATTTCAAAGTCTGTTTCCAAAAAATCCAAGCTAAGGACTACTCATACCCTGCCCTGGCTCTGGGGAACTCAAGACCTTTCAGTTGAGCTACATCCTCAGGTCTTATTAACTTGTTTTTGTTTTGCTTTGTTTTGAGATAGTGTCTTGCTATATCAATAACTTTCCCAGGTTGGGCTGGAACTTGTGCCATTCCAGCTTCAGGCTTCAGAGTGAAGGGATTACAGGTGTGTGCCACTATACCTGGCTTACATATTTTAAAGGGTTCTCAGATCTTCCTTCCTTGGGACTATCCATACACATCTGAGAGTGCATGTTTTTCAGTTATCTGTTGCTATATAACAAACCATTATCATGCTTGGTGACTTTAATGATTGATTTTCTTTGCATTTTACAGGCTGGTTGGCCTCCACTGGACAGTTCTGCACCATCTGGTAGAGTTTAGGTCAGTTGCGGCTGCACTCGACTGGGAGCTACCTACAGCTGCAACACACCCAAGATGGCTGCTCACTCTCCACAGCTTCTGCCTACCTGGCCTCTAACCATTCAGTCACCTGGCATTGGCCACAGGCTTCCTTATGCCACAGGCGCCAAGAAGAGAGAGGTGGAACTGGCCATTCTTTTTAAAGCTTGGACTTCACTTCTGCCACATCCTGCTGGTCAAAGCAAGTCATAGGCCTAATGGCTGATTCAAGGGAAGGAGAACTAGGCTGCCCCTGTGTCTAGGGGCAAGGGGGAAAGGTTGATGACCACTGAACACTGTCTCCCACAGCATGTGGCAGTCATTTATTCAGGGAGTTTCTGAAGGGCAAGGATTCAGCTCTATCCACTATCCCCAGCCCCAACTGTCAGGGATTTCAGAATACAATGTGGGATCCAGCCCAATACTCCTCATATGGGAATGTTGACCTGGAGAGGGTAGAGAGGTGGTGGAGTGTGTTAGCTGCTTCTGTTGGGACTCTTCAATTTCAGGATAGTGCATCCATACGCTGTCTGGGAGTCCTTTTCTGGGCATAAGTTATGCCCCCTGGGGCATGATGGGCATATTTCATTCAGCCACATGGTTACACAGAGCCCTGGATCCAAACACAGACTTAATAATTAAAGCTTGCTGCTTCTCTCTCTTGTCATTGTACATTTAGAGCATGTGGAAGTCATTAGTGGTGTTTGTCAAATATTTCTGGCTGTGCACCTGCTGAACACATGGCAGGATTGCACTTCTTGGCCCTCTTGTGGTTGGGTGAAGCCTTGTGATGAATTCTGGCCAATGAGTTGTGAATGGAACTGACTTGTGCCTTGTATGGGCATTTAATGGCTCCGTGAAGCCTCCAGAGCTCTTTTTTCCTCTGCTTTGGTGCTGGCAGTGTTAGAGATGGTATCTGCTCCATTAAACCAATGAAGAGACAAAGAGTGGAGCCTCATTCGACCCATGATGTGGAAATGACAAGTGAGAAACAATCTTTTTGTTGTTTTGTTTTAAGCCACTAAAACTAAGGAGTGGTTTGTTATGATAGATTGACTTCATCTTTCCTGTCTGATACAAGGGTCTTGTGGCTTAACCCAGAGGGAGTTCATCTTGGTATGTGGTGGGGGTGGAGCAGGGAGGAAAGAGCTCATCTTTGGAGAAAAATAAGAGGTTGGAGTAGGTGTTGGGCTGGGGATTCTACACATAGGCCACCTAATATAAGCAACTAGTATATGAATGTGTGCTTCAAAGAGTTACAAGAGCTTAGTATTGAAAATGGAAATACTAAATAGTCAGGAAAGTGGGAATATTAAAAAAATATTCCTGCCCTGGCCTGCCATGTGTATATTACCTCCCTGTGTCAGTCCCCTCATTCACTGTTGGGGATTTGAGTAGTTGTCTTAAAGGCAAGTGATTTGAATGCCCAGACATTTGCATATGGGCTTCCCTTCTGTTGCTTTCTTTATTCTAGCTCAGTGGCTCTCTAACTTTAGTGTGCCTAAAAATTTCTGTTCATGGCTGTATAAACAAACCGATGTATACTGTACTTTATGAGTGATTTCAGTGTTCTTCCAGGGTACTTTTGACTACGTGCAATTCTTTCTTATGTACATACTTTCAATCTAACCCCTGTATGTGATGAGAGTCCATTGTTCCAAACCCAAAGAACCTTGCAATTTTTATGAGATGCTGAGCGCACAAGATGTCAGCAGCAGCTGCTCTTAGCCTGCTATCCACCTATCACCCAAGCCCTTTTGGTTTTATACCCACAGTATAAATCTTCAGCATCTTTTTCCTGGATTCCCACGAAGGGCTCCAAACTCATCTTTTTTGCTTCTATTCCTGTTTCCTCAAATCCGTTGTCCACTTTACAGCCAAAGTGAGTTCTTCCAAGCACCAATTTGGTCATGTTGCTTCTCCAGTGTAAATCTCCTCAACTTGGCTCCTCCAGATTGCTCTTACTGGGGAGACCAGCATCTGTGATGTGTCCCTAGGACCTCAGGGCTCTGGTTTGCCTGTGTCTCTGGTCCCATATCTGGCAGATTCTCCTTTGGCCTCTGTGGTCTGTGCTGGCCTTTTGCTTCCACCAACATGTTCAAGTCCCTGTCCCCCTAACTCAGAGCCTTGGCACCTGTTGTACCATCTGCTGGGAATGTTCTCCCCCCTCCCTTCTCTTTTTGCCTGGTTAACTCCTACTCATGCTTCAGATGTCAGTTCAAATGTTACATCTTCAGAGAAGCATTTAAGCCAGCTTATTCTTTATTTGCTCTCATAGAATGTGTTGCTTTCCTTCAGAATATTTATGCCAGTTTGTAATTATACACTAATTTGTTTGATTATCTGATGAACACTTGTTTCTTCCACTAGAATGTAAGCCCTAGGAGAGCAGGGGCCGTGACTTCCCTGTCACTCTTGTATTCGCAGCACACACAGTGTGTATTTGCTGCATGAATGATGGGATGGTACGGGTAGTGGTTCAGTGGCGGTAGTGACAGTGGCGGCGGCAGCTGATAACAGCAATGGCGTATCTGTTTCTTTCTGTTTGGAGCTATTGTCTGTTCTAATTTTTACCTTGAGCTTCTGTGGCCTGAGAGATAAAAATTATCTCCAGATACAAAAACAAAACCTGGAAAGTAGAAAAGATTCAGGGTCAGATAGGGTTGAATCGGATCCAGAGCTTGTTCTGCAGGTTCTAGATGTAGAGTTCTTGCTCAGAGCCCATAACACTTCCTAGCCTGTACTCTGACAAACAGGAACTGTCCCTCATGCGCTCCAGTGTGAATAATGTGTGGGGTAAAAGAACCATCTCTTACCTCTTCTCTTTGGTTTCCTTTTCAACTCTTTCTTCTAGTTCAAAAAATTTTTTTTTGTTAAATATAAGGTGAACATAGATTAGGCCTTAAAAAATCTTGATGAGAGAACAAGAAGAAACTGAGCTGAACACTGCCTTGCTCAACCTGTAGGGTTAGTGACACAAGAAAGTGTTATTAAGCTGGAAGAATTTAGACTGAGGGAAGTGTGCTAATATAAGATTATTTTTTTCTTGGGCTTTGGGGTCTGATCATACCTCTATGAGTAATGAAGTCAGATTTCTTAGAAAGGAGTGACATTCCCACCAATTTCGTAGTCCTGGGGAAAGATTCATCCAGGATCAGTAAATGAGGAGGTCTGAGGTAGGATTTAGCCTTAGGGGAACTTTCCTTCCTTTTCCTGGCAATGTGGATCAATTTGTTCTGGATTCTAATACTTGGAAGTAATAGAGCAGTATGTTAGTTAAGGTTAGGGCAGCTGTTTTCACAGAAGAGCCTTTAACATTTCAATATATTAGCAGAATGAATGTTGGTTTCTCGTGTTCAAAAGAAAGGTCTTGTTAAGTAATGGTTTTCTTCCAAGGGCAACTAGGGAACTTGACTGCTTTGGTTTTGTGGTTCTACCATAGTTAATCTTAAGGTCAGTATAGTGATTAGAAAACTAACTTGGGTCAGGCCTCAGTATAGCTTAAGCCAGGAGATTCAGATCCTGCTCCAGGAAGAATTAGTTTATCATCAGAAGAGCTGCATGGGTTACCAATATGCAGCAGTAGGAACCAAGAGGTACATATAAGAGGGGGATGCTGAAGACTTGGTCTTCTGAAGGGTTGCAGGTGGAAACATAAGCCTGGACCAGGGGCTTATTGTATAGGGATAATTTCTTGGCAAGGACACATGAAGCCAGTGCTAATATACTTGCTCCTGGAATAGCTTCATGGAGACTGGGGCTGCAGTAAATTAGAGGGTGGTGCCAGAATCACCTTGGTAGAGTATTAAGGGAGGAGTCAGAGGGTTTAGAGATGTGGAGACTATGACACCAGCTCACTGTGTTTTCTAGAAGTTTCCAGAGGACATTGCCTTCAGTAGAGCAGCAGAGAGTCACTAGTCTGGGTTATACAGCATTACCAAGGAGCTCAGCAGTGGGTATCTTTTATAGCCAAGGATTACTGGTAAACAATGCTGCCAGAGAACTAGATTTCTTGATGAAAGTGGCAATGATGGGTTTTTGTAATAGCAGTGGCCAGGAACAGGCAGATAACTGACAGAAAATTTGTAGACTTATTATTACATAAATCAGTAAAGCCAAGTGTCACTTAGGATCCTTGTTCTAAAAGTTGTGTTGATAGTTAAGGAGTGAGACATATAGGCAGCCAATGAGAGAAAAATCAAGGTTTATGGCAGCTTCCATAACAGAAAATAATGGTTCTTTGTCCATTTTGCAGTTCTGAGTCACCTTTAACCTAGAGTCCATTTACTGAAGAGGAGGCCAAGTCCCTTTGAGGAAGGACTTGACATTTCTCCAACCTTTTCCCAAAGAGATCTATAGCTATTTATCAAGCAACTGTGTATTTAGGAAGGAGGGAACTATAAGAACTTTGGGAACTTCTGCATATAGGGTCTGGAGTGGGAAATCAAATGTCACAGTCATCTCCATATTAGAATTGGGGCCTATTGGAGCAGGTGAGGAGGGAGTCCTGGTTTAATTCTGTTTTGTGGTGGGTCCAAGGGATTCCCCACACTGATTCTTCTTATTTTTTCTTCCCTAGATTCTGAGTATATAGTTAGAATAGATATTAGTAGTTGCCAAAACCTTCACATTTATTTCCTTGACTATTGTAATAAGCCCAAATGGATGCCTTTCAAAGTGCTATCTTCTTGGACGAGATATTCAGTCCAAAGCCATGCCATATCTTAGGTGACTTTGTGGAAATTAGGGCCAGCACCAAAACTGAAGGATTTTGAGGTTGTTTTCTCCCATCCAACTCCCATGTAATTCATTGGTTGGGTTCCTGAAAAATCTAGATTCTTCTAAGATAGTTAGAGTAAACTATCAAAACAAGGGCTAGTCCCAATTGTAGCTACAGTGCTGGATGTGTTATCTTTCCTAGAATAGATCAACACAGCCTCCAGCATTTGATATGCAACATTTGATCTTTTCAATTCACATCAGGAAAAGGGATTAGAAGCAGTTTGTATTCACATGGGAAAGATAGCAATATATAGTCGCCATCTTGCCCCACGGCTATGTTGATTTTCTTGCTCTCTGTCACAATATACAGGAGTCTAAAGGCTCTTTGGTTGTCTTGCCAATCTGAAAACATCAGACTGGTTCAGTATTTTAAGGAAATCATTTTCTTTGCACCCAATGAATAGGACTTGGCAAATACTTGAATACATGTCTCTCTTACTGAGAGACATGCTAAGGAAGAGATGGCCGTAAACTCGGCAAAGATTCAGGTTCCATTCATTGCTTTTGGAGATCTTGATCCTTGACTCTCTTATAGACATAGTACTTGGTGGATCTTTTTGGGGTGTTGAGACAGTGGGCAGTGTGCTAATGAATTTACCGTGCAGCCTAGAAGGTTGCCCATGTTGAATGGGTTCTAGATCAGGAGACAGTAGCTGTGTCTCTGAGCTGCAGTGTAACCTGTCTGACTTCTAGGGCCACCTGACCTGGTAAATACAGTAGCATTAGAATATCTATGGTAGAATCTGAAAAGCTGAATTAGGAGACGCACAGGGAAAATACTGGGAGTTATGGAGCAAGACTGTGTCTTGTACGGCAAAGAACTAATCAGTGCTGGACAGGCAGACCCTGAAGTGTTCCTGGGCCTTCACATTCTGTAACATTGGTCATGGACTGTCGAGTCCATGGACTGTATGGCCAAGGTTGCCCAGTGTGAGCTAAGTGTTATCGTCTCTGAGTCATAAGCCTGGTGAGATGCATTAGCAATCAACTGTATTGTGAGAATTGTACGTTGGAGTCAGATCTAAACAAGTTCAGATTTTCAAGTAAGTACATGCACAGGTGGCTTAGCTGCCCATGTTATCTATTTTGTTTGAGCCAACACCCTCCTCTCAGGTCATATCTAGTCCCTTGTCAGAAGATTCCCATGGACAGCTAGTGGAGGAGCAAATATCTCACATTAGTTCACAGATGGACCAGTTCAATGTATTAGTTACAGAGGATAAGTACTTAGAGGGAATCTTTCACTAGATAGAAGCTTAAGTTGTGTAGTTTTATCATCAGCTTTTATGAAGGAAGAAGTGATCTGAGATGAGTTTCTACACAGGCTGTTGGGCAGTCGTGATTTGGCTAATTGGTCAGGGCTCTGGAAAAAGTTAGATTGATTGGTTAGAGACAGGGAGTCTGGAGATAAGGGGTGTGGCTGACCCTAAGGAGTGGACACAAAATTTATATATATATATATATATATTCCAATGCTTATCAAAGAGCATCCAATATATGATACATTAAACAAAGAAGGGAAAGGAATGGATAGGATTTGTCATGGGATGTCACCTAGCATTGCTTCTCAGGCATCCTATGCATGCAAAATTGGCTACATAAAGAATAACATGGTGGTAGCAGTAGAAAGTTTTGCATAGGTCCAACATGAGCTCCTTGTCACCAAGGTTGATCAAGTTAATGCAGCCACAAAATGTATGACCCGTTACAGGAGAGACCAATACTGAACACTCAAGTATGTTTCTGAGCATTGTGAAGAATGACTTGTCCTTGGTAGCAACTGCCCCTGGAAATAGCATTGTGTTGTAATAGCTAGAATTTATGAATAGGGGAACCAAGGAGTGAAAGAGGGGCCCTCTCATAATCACTTCTAGGGCCCAGTTTGGGGAACTTAAGCTTTCTGTCCAGAATCTTAAGGGTCTGTAAAATTAGAGGTGCTAGTCCCAAGGGCTGGGGAGCTTCCATCTGGGGAAATAGTAAGAATTCCACTGAATCATAAAGATTCCCACCTTGTGGTTTTGCATTCCTGGAGTTAGAAGACCAGCATAGAAAAAGAACTTGTTGTCCTGCATGTAGATATAATGAGGAACATGGGTAGTACTTTTTTACCCTCCATGTGAATTTTTCTTACTTACTACTTTCGTTCTCCTTAAAGACTAGCTCCTACATCCAAGTTCATCCTTAGTGTTGAATTTTGAGAGAACACATTAAAACAGTACAATTTTGATTTTTTTCATAAGTGCAATGGAACCTATTGAAGAGTTTTAGCAAGGGTGCTACACGATCAGCAAAGGACCCTGGTAGCTGTGTGAAGAGTATATTGAAAGAGCCAGAGTGGACTTAAAGAGTCTATTATAATAGTCTTGATAAAAGATAATAGGAGTTGGACTTATATGTTGGTGACAGTAGAGATGAAGAGAGAAACAGATGTAATAGAGGTTTTTAGAGAACACAATCAGTAAGATGAGTTCCCTTTATCCATCTCAGATCAATTTGTTGAGAATTGTTTTATTGTATACACAAGCATTTGAATTATGATGCTTATTATTTAATGGATTTTCAAACTGGTGTTGGGTTTCTCACTTTTTCTAGAGCCTGGATTTCTGATGGCCCTTTATGAGGCATCCTAGTCTGAATTTCTAGCACAGACCCAGTGAATGTATACTGGGATTCATCTGTGCTTTCATTGTCCTATTTAAGGTCTATTGATGTCTCTAAGAGAAGTCCTGCTTAGAGTTCTTGCTGGCAGCTGTCTTCTGGGAGGAATGAACTATATATGAATCAAAGACTTATCTTGAATATTGATGCAACATAATGTTTAAGAAGCCAGCAGTGGGACATTTCTAGCTTGACCTAACAGAGAGAGACTGTTCAGTAGAGCAAAGGCTGAGTTTCAGGTATGTCAGTGTTGATTGTAGTGGTACCTCTGTGAAACTCTTGGACTCTAACACTGATTTTTTTTTTTTGATTCCAGGGATCAAACTCATAACCTCACATTTGCCAAACAGGCACTTATGCCACTGAGTTAAAACCCCGGGCCCCTAACACTGATTATTTGATTATCACTGTGATAAGCAGAGGTTAAGATGGATTTGTGGGAATGGGATGGCATTTTTTAAGATTCCTAGAATTTCTTGGTATGAGAAGGACAAGGAAATAGGGTAGAAGATAGTGCTTTAAAACTTGATTTCATTTTATCAGTGAGCTTTGGGCTCCAAATGATCAGAATCCTGTGACTATATTTGTACTTAGGGCCTGGTTAGTTCTAAAGCATTTGAATTTTGATGCTTATTATTTCATGGATCTCCAAGTTGATGTTGGGTTTCTCTCTTTCTCTAGAGCTTGGATTTCTGATGACCCTGAAAAAGGACTTAGTGATTGATTCCCTGGACTTTAGTTGGGCCATGGGTGCTATGGACTTGGGTGCTAGGTAAGATAGAGCTTAATGTAATGGGATGGTGAGATATTGAATGCAGTATTGGATACACTGAAGAACCTACAGGGAGTAATTTCAGTAGGCTATTGAATATCTTTGTATTTATAGTGTCTAAAATAATGTCTGTCATTCTAGAAACTCAGTATATATTTGTTTCACTATATTAATTAAATTTTTCTCCCAAATTTCTCCAGCAACATTCAACCTCCATGATAGCTTACGAGAACTGTTGCTATTTTGTGTTTGGGATAATTTAGTCTCTAGGGGAAAGGCTAAATTAGCTAAAGTTTAAGATCTTAGTTACTGATGAAGCATGTCTTTGGAGAGTCTCCAAAAAGCATGCAACTCATTGAAGCTTCCTTTGATATTCAAGGCCCCAAGGACTCAGAGGTGAGAGAAGAAGACCTACAGCATGCTGGGGTTCAGTTTTTCTGAGTAATGCAGTGACTGGGGGATGAGTATGGAGTCGGGGAACTAAGTGTCTCCTTCCAGATCAGGACCCTACTGTAGTCTTTCTGGTAGCAAAGGTTCTAAGTATTGTCTTTGGAGTTGGATAAGTTGGGTTTAAAGTTTTACTTCACCATTTTCTAGATTTGTGATTTTGGGCAAGTTATTTTTCTCCAAGCTGATTATCCAAGCTTACTTTCCATATCTGTAAAGTAGAGATATTTATGTCATCTACTTCAGTGTGTTGTTGTGAGAACTAAATGTAATAAAGCATGAAACATGCCTAGTTTAATGCTTGGCATGCAGAGAGTAGTCAATAAATGCTTTTTAATAATAATAATTCAATCAATAATATTGATGATTATTTTTATCTTTCCAACAACCTCATGAACTCCTTATACTCCCTCTACCCTAAGGTATCATGGCTATTATTCTCAATTCTCAATTTAAAGATTGGAAAAAGGAATTTGAAGAGATGGAAATAACTTTACCTAGCCAAGAATATGGTGGAAAAGAGCCAACTAGTTCAATCTTCTGACCCCAGAACTTATATTTTCTATGGTGCATCTCATAGAAAGCTAGTTATACTTGAGAAGGATCTTCTAGTATTGGCAAGAGTAATGCACTAAAGTTCTAAGAGGGAGGACATCCCTGCCAAATCAGCCATATGTGTGTGTGTGTGTGTGTGTGTGTGTGTGTGTGTGTTGCAAGTTAAGGGCAAAATGAGAAAATATTACCCCTAAATCTCTAAGCACTGAACAATCTCCGACACAACTCACAGAAGACGTACTTTTGTCCTGTTATTTCAACAGCAGTCTGAGGCTGTCTTAGTTACTTTTTACTCATTGCTGAGATAAAATTCAGATGTCCAAAGTTAGGGAAGGAAAGGTTTATTTCTTACAGTTCTTGGAGGTTTCAGTCCATACTCAGTTGACTCCAAGGCAGTTGGCTGCAAGGCGGGGCAGCCTTTCAGGGTGGCTGCAAACAGTAAAGCAGGAAGTGGCAAGAGAGAGACACACCTTCTTCCTGCCATTACATCATATCCTGGCTCCACCCCTAGGCAGGTGTGGCACTAGCCAATGAACCAATCACAAAACATGAGGCCTTGGGAGGGGGCCAAAGGAATATATAATCGACCAGAGGCCATTTTATCAATATCCATCTTTTGAAAAATTTTAACCAACAAAGATGAACTCAAATGAAAGAAAAAAATTCCTATTCCATGGGTTTGCCACTCTCCAACCTGATTCAACTGAATTGCTCGAGACTTGGAAGAAATCTGAGATCAGAATATTTAGATTTTTCTTTGGGTTTGGTCTACTTATGCTTGAATAATCCACTTTCTCTTCTGGCCTCAGTTTCCCTCAGCGCAAGATGGAGACTGCTCCAGCCTGACACTCTATAACTCAAAGTAGCACCCACATCTCCTACCTCTGGGGGAAAGAGGGAGGGATTGTGGGGGCAGTGACATCAATCTTCTTCCCAAGATGACTCCTCTGAGCTCTATATTTCTTGCCTATAGTGACCAGGGAATTTTCCCCTATTGATTGCTTTCTGTGATTGAGCTTAACAAATAGAGCTTCTCTCAAATGATTCTTCCAACTAAACTGATAGAAAGCTAACCTTGTTATATTTATTGACAGAACATTGAAATAAATATTATAGGTCTAGAGGGAATGTTTCAGCCCATTGATTTTTTAAAGGAAATAATAAATGGAGCCCATTCCCTTTGGCATATTATGCTGGGAATAATCTGAAAAAATGCTTAGCTTGTTCAACACAGAGCTTAGAAACCCTACTTCCACTCCCAGTGGAACAGGGGCCTTTTGCATAAATCTGCTCTGGCCCAGACAATCAATTTTCAATTTTAATTATTTTCAAAACTCGTTTATTATTTGCTCGTCTGGGAGTTGGAGCTTTCCTTTTTAGTGAGTTTGCAGCCAGAGTGGTCAGACCGCTGGTCTAGATTAGGATGTATAGGATTTCTTCCTTTTGTGTACCAGAGAAGAAAATTTACCATCCCCTCTTTTCAGAGAGTTGGGGTCTTCAAACTCTGGACTGTGGGCCAAGTCCAGTCAGTCACTTATTTTTATAAATAAAGTTTTATTGGAACACAGGCTGTTGTTTACATGTCAGTGATTACTTTCTGCACAATGGCAGAGGCGAGCAGTTGAAACAGGAACAACATGACCACCAAAGTCTATTGTCTGTTCCTTTGTGAAAAAAGTTTGTTTTTCTCTGCTCTTGAATTCTCTTTCTCTTGTCCTTCTAAATGATTTTGGCATGCTTCCTCCACACATGTGGGACTCTCCATGGACTGAAAGGCTCCCCCAATAATATTAACCAAAATGATACAGAGCCCTTCTGGCACCTGGCACTATCCCAGAGATTATTTATCTGTCTATCTATCTCTTCATACTATGAGGTGGTGTGATTATTAGTACTGTTTTAAAAATTAGGAAATTGAGACACAGAAAAGTTAAATAATTCACCTAAGATTACAAGTAGAAAATAGCAGAACGGGGGTAGAAATCCAGCAAACTGACGTCAGAGATCATGTCAGTCATGGAGGGTTCTCAAAGGATATCTGGGTCATTGTCCCCAAAATACCAATAGGGAAACTGAGGCTCAAATAGCAGGGACACAGGTGGTGGTAAAGCTGGAAGTAGAATCTGCATAACAGTTCCAGCCTGTGTTTTGCTTTTGCTATTATTACATTGTTCTGCTCAGCTTTCTTTACCAAGGCCAGGCAGGAGGAACAAAGATCGTTAAAATAGAGCCTTGTATCATCCCTTTCTCCATCTCCCCACTGAGATTTTGAGGACTAGATTATCCATGACATCACTCATTACACCTCTTTCACAACCATTTTTCTTTTAGTTTTCCAAGCTGGTTGGAGGAATTCAGTACTTCTTGGGTCTCCTTTTCATTTATACCATCAATGTAGCTGAGTACCTAGAATATATGGCATTTAGTTATTTAAGTGGTAGCAGCCCTTTGGGAAACAACCTAAGTCATGTTACAGACCAACATACAGTTAAAGGTTTGGCCTGTATACTGCCAGTCTTTGCCAATTAAAAAAAAAATCATCCTTTAACTCTTTGTTCTCCCTAGCTATCATAGAATCCTGGACCTTCTGTTCATAGTCCATACTGAATGAGTTTTTTCTCTACCAGTGTGCAGGTGTCTTCCCTTCTCAGTCCCCAACCCACTCTAATCTGATATCTGTCCAGAGTCCACCATCAAGTTTGCCCCAGTGGTACCCCATCACAAGGGTAGTGCTCTTCAGTCTGCATATTCAGGATCACGCTTGCCTTTGAAGCTCCTGATCATCCCCTTCTCCTTGAGAGACGTGTTCCCTGGCAGCTCTCTCCCTGGGGTGCTATCCCTCAAGATACATCCTTTTGTGGTTCTGTTTCATGCAGTTAAATTGTGAGATTACATCCTAAGCTCTTCTCTCATCAGTCACATCTCCAGACCCTTCTTTCCCCAAATCTCAACCAGCATCCTACGTCTCCCTCCCAGACCGCACAGTATGTGGACGATTGGAGATTACACGGAAGTCCCTCTAGTAATTCAAAGTCACTTCCAACACTGAACTCAACATTGCCCCTCCCCATAAATGACACTGTGGATATATCCTCACTTACCAAAGCTTTTCAAAGTGTCTGCTACCTCAAATCCTGCACGTCTGCAGGAGGGAGATGGAGGCTGCTGGTTGAGATTTGGGGGAGGTGTCTGGACATGTGCCTAGGATGGGAGGAGGGCCTAGGTTGTAATTATTGTCACAGCCCTATTGTTCCTCACTCTTAAATACCTCTCATATTTATTCTTTCCATTTCACTCTTGATGTAACTGCCTCAGTATGTGCCCTTATGATCTTTCACTTGTATAATTAATTAGTAATCAATTTAACAACTATTTCATATCTCTGTGGACCTCTCACTGGGGAAAATAATACTGAGTAAGACAGACACTGGCTCATCTTTCATAGACTCAAGATTCTTTATAGGGAGGAGACCCTCAGCAATGAGACAGCATGTACTTAGATAAGATAATTTAAGACAGTGTTAGTCCTGTGAAGAAACTAAAATTGAATGATGTGAGCAAAAGTGACCGGAGGTGAACTCCTCTGAGTAGGTGGCATTTGATCTGAGACATGAATGATAAGAAGGAGCAGTTGTACAGAGATATGTGAAAGATGTTCCAAGCAGAGGGAATAATAATGTGAAGAGATAGGAATAAGCTTGGTTGGGTTCAAGGAATAGGAAAGGGCTATTTGTTAGGTGGGTTCAAGGGGTAGAGAAAGGTTGGTATGTAGTGTATGTGGAAAATCAGGAGACAGCATTTGAAGAGGTAGGTGAAGATCACAGCATTCTGGATCTTGTAGGCCATGGTAGAACTTTAGGTTTTATTATAAGGGTAATGAGAAAGCTTTGGAAGGGGTTTAAGTGGGGTGGGACATAAGAGGTCAAGTGTGAAGGCCAGGAGACAGCAGGCTATGGCAGTTATGTGGCTCAGATGAGGGCAGTAGAGGTGAACAGGAAAAGGTAAGGAGGGGCTGGATTTACATTAGGGGTAGGGCCATCAGGCTTGCTGATGGATTGAGCAGGTCTGGGTGAGCATAAAGACAGGAGAAGTAAGGAGATCTCCTTTGGACCTTATTTCTTTTCCTTCTTCATAGGAAAGAGAGGCCCTTGGATAGGAACTCCAGCTCCTTCCTGTTCTCCTGCTCTGACAGTCTGTCTCAGAGAGAGGCTGAAGGCCCAGCTCCTCTTGCCTGGAAGAAGCCTGGCTTGGAGTTGAGCCACTTGCATGGGTCCATCAGGAATAGGCCATCTGGGAGAGATTGGGTTATTCTCTTACTCCAATTGCCCTTTGCTCTTAAAGACAAAGCCTTCATCCCTGCGGCCACATGTCAGCCAGGCAGAAGATGCTCTTCTGGGGCCTGCAAGGCTAAGAAGTCACACAGTGCTCTCTAGGCTGGACCCCTCCCCAGCTGGCTGAGCCCCAGATGCCTCCACAAAGTAGCAAGAGCAGTGGGCTTGGAATCTGTGCATGAGTCTCAGACAAACTACTTTTAAGCTGTGTGATGTTAGGTAACTCATTTCACCTCTCTTGGCTTCCCTTTCTTCATTGTAAATGGGACAAATTAATTTTATCTCACTGACTGCAATTCACATCACAATGTGAAAGGGCAGGAGGGGCTGGCCTTGACTCCTGAATCCTTTTTGGGATCTTGAGTCTTTCATGCCAAAATTCCTTTCTTTTGCTTTTAGAAAAGATGAGTATGTGTCTCTGGAGGTGGAAGGAGGAAAGAACTTTACTTCTGTGGAAGAA